CATTCCTTTTACGTTCTATTACCTGCTGTGTCATGGAACTGTGGAATTTTGACCACTATAGCACCATGGGCTGCTAAACTTCATTTATGGTGTGACCCAACAGCAGCTGTCTTTGGACATGTTGACACACACACCCTTTCTCTCTCTCTCTCTCTCTGTGTGTGTGTGTGTGTGTGTGTGTGTGTGTGTGCTTCTGTTCCCTTGTGGTTCACCAACAAAAATGGTAGGCAAGAATGGAATGCCAGGATACTGCCTCAAATTTCATCCTGGAGGGTAGTGGGTTTAGGGCACAACCACTGTATTTTGAGATATTCTAAGCATGGAAGCTCCGTTTAGGTCTCATAACTAACAGGTATTGCTAGAGCTGTTCTCCATAAATTTACGTAACCTTTAAAAAGCCATCTAAGCTAGTGATCGTCGCTAAAACTTGTGGGAAAGAATTCCAAACGAGTAAATTCATATGCGTTGTATGAAGAAGTATTTCTTTTTCTCCTGAATCCACTGTCAATGAATTTCATTTGATGTGTCTACTGTTATATGAGAGAGGGGCTGGGAGTATATTTCTGTCTACCCTCCTCACACTATTTGTGATTGTATATATTATAAATCATGCTCCGCTTTTTCTTTTCATTTCTCCCCAAACTTTAAACTACCATATATTTGAGGTGTTCCTCATAGAGAAGGTTTTTCCAAACCCTTGATCATTTTGGTTGCCCTTCCCTTCTGCCCCCACCCCTGCCCATTTCTCTGATATCCTTTTTTGAGATGTGGGGATAACCAGAACTGTACACAGTATTCTAAATGCAGCCACACCATCGATTTATATAAAGGCACTATGATACTGACAGTTTTATTTCCAATCCCTTTTCTAATAATTCCTAACATTGAGTTTGTCTTTTTCATTGCTGCTGCGATAAAGTGCATGGTATTGCTGGAATCAATCATCATTCAATATGTGGACAGGCCATAATTTTCAAAACACACCCACACCTTATAAACATGTCACAAAAGCATGAGATAAAATTCACACTATATTTTCTTGGGTTTGATCCTTCTGTCCATTGCCATCTATGCCAGAAGTCCAAGCCCCAGCGAAATTATTCATCTTATCACATAGGAGCCAACTCCTAGAGGCAAAGGTCCCTTCGCCCCTTCACCAGAGCCCCCCAAAGTTGATGGGCATTACCATTCAAATGGTGTATGTGTGTGTGCCATGTCTTGTGATCTATTATGCAGAGCAGGGCTTTCCTGCCCCGCCCCCCATTATATTCAAGTCGGCATCCCTGGCTTATCATGTGTCTGGAACAAGACTAGAAGGTTGAATGTGAAGATGGCTTCAGGGGTGATGAATGCCTTGTGGTGGAGATGGGTGACGCCAGGTACCCCGAAAGAGGTATTTATATGCTTCTTCCTTAAGAGACCCTCCCTAGATCCTGAGATGTATGACAGCAAGCACCCGGTGGCTAATATCCCATTTAGGGATAAGGTGGTGGAGTGGGTAGCAGTCATTCAACTAGAGATATGCAAGGATGAAACAGATTATCTAGACCCATCTGGGTCTGACTTGAGACCCGGTTTTGTCACTAAAATAGCCAAGCTTGCCCTGGTCACTTACCTTTATTGAGACAGCAATTGGGAGAGTATGTCTTTGTTTATTCTCCTCCACATCTCAGCAGCTTTTGATACCCCTGAATCCTCTTGGAGTGGCTCTGCAAGATATTGTGTTTGGTGGTTCTGCTACTACCTGCATCTATACAAAGCTGTTGAGAGCAACCATCAGAGGATCTGGGATGAAGTGTCACCAGTTTGCAGATGACAACCAGTTCTACTCTCCATCTGAATCAGGCAAGGCTGTGCAGATGCTGGACCAATGCCTAGAGATAGTAATAGGCTAGAGACGAGCCAAAGATTAAAACTGAATCCTGACAAGGCACAGACACTTGCTGTTGGGCCAGAACGTGAGGAAACAATTTACCCAGGGTGCAGTCTCGCTGCTCTTGAAGGAGCTGGTGCATTGCCTGGAGCACTCTGAAATCCAGCCTTGTCACAAGATGACAATGGCTAGGCAAGCCTATTTCAACAATAGCTGATTCACCATCTACAGCCTAGCTCTACTGATCCACGCAGAGACGGAGCTAGCTGCCCATGGGGGCGGGGCTAGCTGCCTGCGCAGAGTGTCCTGGGGGGGTGGCGATGTCACCACCCTCAGGGATGACACCCGGGGTGGACCGCACCCACTGCACCCCCCTTCCTCTGCCAGTGGATCCATGCTCAGATAACCTCATATTCAGAGTATTGTACTGTGGGGGCTACCCTTGACGTCTACTACATATTGTGGAAGATGACAGTGTAGTTAGATGCTCAGCAGCCTTTTTGATATCATCTTCTCAGTTGGGATCTGAATTGCAAACAGAAGCCTGCCTAGAATAGGAACTCTTGAGAAGATTCTGCAAAAGGAACTGCTGAGTTGTAAGTTTTAAAATGCAGCTTAATGGTGCCTACAAAGATTCACATCCAGAGATTGCTTCAACTACAACTTAAATCTAAGGGATTTCTGCAGTGCAACTGTTTCAGGGGAGACATCACTTAAAGGAGACAGTTGTGGCCAAATCCTCTAGCAGAGCTGTTTTGTTTATGAGACTATTACATTTTTAAAATGATTAGGTTAGCAAAAAAAAAAAAGAAGGCACCGAAAGGCCTAAAATAGTAAGCAAGGAAACATTTTTAAAACCACTGGATATCACCCAGCTCCCCAAAGTTTGTCTCATTGTGCTTGGCACAAATAAGGGAAGGAGCTCAGAAACAGATGAGAGTTTTGTCCAGAAACTGAGAGTAGCTATGCTTGGGGAAAAGAGCTCCTCCTGGTTGGCGTTCATCTGTCTCAAGCAGAAAAGAATCCCACACACATTCCAATTGCTGCAGGAAAGGGTGCCTTGCCCCAGTGTTTCCCGTAGCATGTAGGGAATACCAGTGCTGTTTTTCTAGAAAAATAGGTGTTGGAACTCACCATGAACACCTCCCTCATTCTCTCAGAATGGCAATGGTGCCCACCTGAGAGTTGGCGGAACTGAGTTCCCGTGAGTTCCCCCTGAAAAATGTCCTGGGAAACATAAAGCATATATGGACACACAGCTGGGAAACCAAAGGTGTGTGATATCCACTCAGCATGTGCTTGCTGTGAAAAACACCACTAAATACCAGTAGTGATCATAAAATGAAGACCTGTCCTTGCTTTTGAGGGAAGCAATTCCCACTTCTGCCCTCAGTGAGCACCAATGGCTGCCTTTGGCAAATGACTCAAGTTGCCTACAATTCGTTAAGCCAGGTGAATCTGAGCAACCTAGCTCTTCTTCATGAAAAGCATGAGAAATTGATGGATGTTAATATAATGAGTCCATATAGCGTGTCTCCAGTTTGGTCAGGCCTATGTGGACTTTCAGAACCCACTCTTTACTTGGCTTTGTGTGCCCATCTACCCAAAATCAAATTAAGACAAGAGGGATTCTTGCCTGTGGTTTTCACAAGGAGCGTCTTGTAATTAATGTTATCCATATAATGTGAACTGTTGTTGGATAAGAAAGCAACAAAGGCATCTTCATGGCATCCTCTGCATATAAAAGGACAAAGCAATTTTCCTTCCCCAGAGGAGGTGAAAACACAATCCTCATCTTACAAACTGACAAAATAAGTCCAAAAATAGTTGGTGCTTGTTAACCTTGACAAACAATTCTCGTTCCCTAGGGTATATTTGTGCATTCCCCACGTAATTTTATCTGAGGCACACTGGTGCAGAGTTACAAAATATCCAAATGCCCAGTTAATGGAATCAAACACCATTTTAAGATCAATAAAGGCCATATATAGTCTTGTTGCATTTTAGGGAGGAATATTTATAAGTCAAGTGTGGTTACACACACACACACACACACACACACACACACACAGAAAATAGCTCTTCCTTGTCCAAGTCCAGTTTGTCCTTCTGCTGGCAGTAGACCTTCCAGCATTCTAAGATAGCTGAGATTGTTAAGAAGGCTTGTGACAGGTTCTTAAACTTTATTGTCTTGAAGGCCACCACAGTTTTCACTTGTTCTCAGAAGATGTAGGACATCTTGGTCCTTTACAAAATGGCGGGAAGATGATTTAAATGTGGGAGGTTACTTGAAAGGCTTCTGTGCCAAACTCAATGGCAGCATTTGTCCTCTCTACCTATAGCACAGAAGAGAGCAATGTATAATACTTGTGGCTTTTGGTTGCAGCTGCCTGCAGTGTTGAGCAGACAGACAGGTTTCCAGTTAAATGTAAACTAAAAAGAGGGGGCCTCTTCAGCATGGTCACATTTCTTTTGCTTTGTTTATGAAGAAACATCAATGTACATGGCATGTCATAAGCACACATGCTCACACAAGGTGAGCCCAGACTGGTCTCAACAGTTCTGCTTTTTGTTCTCCACAACTTTCTCTCCTCAGTGTTTACCTATCCTTTCTGAGTTTCAATAAATTCATTCTCATTTAAGAATCTCCCTCCCTTTCTCTTTGAAAAACAACAACCTCTCAGTCCTCTTTCACTGCTCTTTCTGCAAAAGGCCTTTTTTTTAAACTGCCTTTCTCTCAAAAAATCTAAACATCTCAGAATCTCCCAAAAATGTTTGAAGGTGTTCAGTTTTTCAAGATCATCTTTGAAAGTCAGAGTTACAAGAAAACATTATTCTCCCTCTGCCTACCCCCGTTTTGTGCTATTCCCAGTGGTCTTTCAATCACTAGGACAGAATGGAAAATCTCATAAGAAGAAGAAGAAGAGTTTGGACTTGATATCCCGCCTTTCACTCCCCTTCAGGAGTCTCAAAGCGGCTAACATTCTCCTTTCCCTTCCTCCCCACAACAAACACTCTGTGAGGTGAGTGGGGCTGAGAGACTTCAAAGAAGTGTGACTGGCCCAAGGTCACCCAGCAGCTGCATGTGGAGGAGCGGAGACACGAACCTGGTTCCCCAGATTACCAGACTACCGCTCTTAACCACTACACCACACTGGCTCTCACATAAAAGCCCCATGTTCCTTTCTCATTGAGAATTTTAAGTCAATGAGCATAGATTCAGGTGAGAGCCAGTGTGGTGCAGTGGTTAAGAGCGGTAGACCCGGAATCTGGTGAACCGGGTTCGCGTCTCGGCTCCTCCACGTGCAGCTGCTGGGTGACCTTGGGCCAGTCACACTTTTCTGAAGTCTCTCAGCCTCACTCACCTCACAGAGTGTTTGTTGTGGGGGAGGAAGGGAAAGGAGAATGTTAGCCGCTTTGAGACACCTCAAGGGGAGTGAAAGGTGGGATATCAAATCCAAACCAATCCCATGGGCCAAACATGGCCTGCCAGGGGGTCCAACTTGCCCTGCAAGGCCATTTTTCCCAGACCTGCCCATCTGTTTAACCCTGCATTATTATTATTATTATTATTATTATTATTATTATTATTACAAGGCAACACAATGAGTCTGGGGCAGTGGTGGTGCCATTAAAACCATTGTCTTCTACAGCCCAGAGCAACTTCCATTCACTTGAGCACGCTAATCTGCCTTGTTTTCAGAGCTAACTTAAAATATTGTACCTGTTCTGTGACATGCAACTAAGCAATCGTGCCAGTTACCTTATGATTTTTTGTTTATGAGCTCGAGAACAAAACGTGCTGTTGTTCTGCTTGTCTCCTTCAAGACAAAAACAAAACCACAAAACCATTTCTTATTGTTGGCCGTCTGATTGCTTCTTGAGTGCTGTGTACTTTCTTTCAAACCCAATCTCATTTGTAAACAAACTGCATTGTGTAGAACAATTTCTGGAAATGGAAGTTGAACCAAGAAGGCTTTTTAATGGCTGCCTCTTATTTTTAAAGGGCATCACAATATGAATAACAGTAATGAACATTGCTGTTCAGTTGTTGGGGACAGGGGTGCTGTTTATTCAAGGTAAACTCAAGAATTGATTTTCTAATATCCTGACACGTTGCATGAAAGCATGTTTTCCTGTCGCCAACACCCACTCCCCAAAATGTACTGAGTAATAGCATTACTCAGTACATTGCTTTCCTCGTGGTGTGCACACAATTCACAGAAATAAGCCAAGTTACTAACTTTGTTCTTGCAAGACTCCTGAGCAAATGCAAAAACAGGATTTTACTGCCTGAAGTGGAGCAGCAAAAGGCATGCATGCACACAATTCCAAGACAAAGGGCAACATACCCCAAACCAGCCAAGATATTTCAGCACCTGAGGCAGAAAATCCTCAAAATGTTTCTTTCCTTTCCTGGGTGTAAAAATTACAGTTGTGTGAGATCAGAATAAATTGGTTCCTAAGCCTATCATAATTGGGCAAGTCTGCCCATCAAGGAGGAAAGGTGGGATTAAGGAGGAAAGGTGGGATTAACTCGGCCCTCCAGATGTTTTTGGCCTACAACTCCCATGATCCCTAGCTAGCAGGACCGGTGGTCATCTCATGCCACACCACTTCAGGTGAGGTGGGAGGCCTTCCTGACTTCTTGCTGCCTCCTTGTATACCCAGCCCACTCCTCCCAAGGGCTGAAATACCACAGTGGTGGTGCCCCAGAAGTGGCTTCTTGCCCTCCTTCCTGTCCCACTACAAATAGGCTCCTATGGGCCGATGTAGTGAAAACAGATTGAATTTCTAGCAATTGTCGCCCTTTCATGACACCTCAAATCAGCTGTTTGAGCCTAATGGTAGGGCCGGCCCTGAGACACTGAGAAATACATCTGGTAGTTCTGGGTGAGGGGCAGGGTAGAGAGGATCTCCCAGGTTGGGAGGCTGGGGGAAGCAGGAACACCTGCTGAGAGTCTGAGGGTCCTGCTCCTGCCTCTCTCCACCAGGCCTAAAGCGGGGCAAGATTACTGTTTTTTTCCATGTATAAGATGATAATTTTTGCTTTAATTTTGGGGTTGTTGTATACATGGATAGTGAATGCGGGGCGGGGATTGGCTGTGGCTGCGGAGAGCAGGTGGAAAAATTTTATTTTCTTTATTTATTTCTAAAGAGAAATGCACCTGGTGAAGCTTTTCCTGTCATAGGAAGCTGACTTATAATGAGTCAGGCCTTTTGTCCATTTAGCTCAGTATGGTCTACACTGATTGGCAGTGGCTCTCCAGGGTTTCAAGCAATCTTCTGACCTGGCGATGCTGGGATCTGAACCTGGGACCTTCTACATGCAAGGCTGAGGTTCTATCACTGAGCCTTCCCATCTGCAGGTGGGGGCAGCTGCACATGAAGAATTTCTGCCTGTGTCGGTAGGCTGTTAAAATTGACACAAGAATCCTTCTGAGCAGAGAGTGGAGGTTTCTGTAGGAGCCTCTCTGCAACCTGCTTTCCGCAGACAAAGCAACATGCCGGCAAGTTGCAACTTGGCAGCCTCGGAAGCTCTGCAGAACTGTCTGCTCGACAGCTCAGCGTTCGCTTCTGAAGCCGTAGGGAGGAGTTTCCATCTCCAGCCCATTTAGTTGCTCACCTGCTGCCACAGGGTACAGGCCCGTGAATCAGAATGTATGACTAGTTAAGCCCCGTGTGCCAAAGCATCCTTTCAAATGCCAGCTTCTAAGGAAAGATTGGTGCCCGGCACTTTAAAATAATAATAATAAGCACTCGCAAAGCCCGCTACCACAGAAGCACTGCAGCGGCAACCAGCAGGAAAGCCGTTTTTAAAAATTCATCAAACTAGGATCCCTCCAAGTGATCCTGCTGGAGGAGAGTGCGGCATTGTTCTGTAACTGGGAACTGAGACCAGAGGCTTTCTTTACAAAAGTCTGCAAATCTCAGCTCTTGGTAGGAAACAAGCTGTGCTCTTTAAAGCAAATATCGTAGATTGTGCCAATAGCAGGAAAATAAGTGCCCTGGATATAATTCACCTGAAAAGGACTCATTGTTGAAGAACACTCCTTAGCACTAAGAGAAAATTCAGTACTATAAAGGATACCCATGATTAATATTAATGAAACAGCACCCTGGTGAGTCTAGCTGCGACCTTTGGTGCACAGCTAGAAGAAGAATAAGGGAATTAATGCACATCTCCAAATATGGGGTGGGAGAGAAGGCGTGTTTTGGAGTATTGCTCTACACACACACACAACCAATATATATTTAGATTCAGTTGAATTCTCTCTTACTGAAGCTTAAAGTGCCTTATTGGAAGCAAATAGCATTTTTAGGTTTGGAAAGAGGACAAGTGATGATGAATGGGCAAGGATGAGGAAGCGAAAGGGTTAGGTCTTACCTAAGGTCCTTTATGGTTCAGAGCAGAGATGACACATTGGAGCCTCTGGGCTGTATTCGGCACCCTTCCTGATTTCTTGAGGCCCCACCCCATCCAGTGTCCAGCTGCGAGTAGGATGCTACTTTCCTCGCTAGTGATGTTTCCAACACAACAGCAGAGGTGACCCCAGAAGAGCAAGCCTCGTATTTCATGCTGGAAGAGGTACTACCAAGTGCTTCTGCCAGAATCTAGATTCTCTCCACTCACACTGCTTGGGACTATAATAATATCTATGCTGGTACAGGGAAAAACCAGCCCTACCCTAGCTGGGTGGAAAATCCAAACCATCTGAAGTGCAGCTGCTTTGGAAAATTAGACATAAGGAGACATCAAGTGATATCGGCTTCTATGAAAAAGACCTAAGCAGTAGATCTCATGAACTGTGCACCTGAAGGACAAGGGCAGTTATCTTTTATTATGTATTGATTCTAGTTTAACTTAGAATCTAAAGTATACTAGGAGCTATATGTAGGAAAATCAGCCGGTTCTTGTGTGCTTAGAAAGCACTGCGGACCTTTTTTGCCCATGTAATTTGATTTAAAACTATCCGGGCCAAACCACACAGACCTGACATAATTGTGAAGCTAGGTGATTGACAGGTGGGTGGCCCCACCCACATGTCAAACATAGCCCACAAGGCTGTGTGCAGAAAGGACCCTAAAAATCACCCAGATCTGATTCCCTACCCCTAACGCTAGGTGTTTCTGCTAATGCAGTGGGAAAACCAGAGGAATACCTGTTAATAAACATGGTGATCCTCATTAATTTGTTGTCAAAGGAGAGTCTGAAAACCAAACGTGGCATTGTTTGTCCCAACAAAATATTACACATGTCAGAGTCACCGTGGCTTTCATTACAGGCCCTTAGATGCATCCACTGGGTTAGAACAGATGTGCTGAGAGCCTGCATTTTAAAGAGCGTTGCACACATGTCACATTTGTGATGTACCTGCTCCATTGCTATGGGAAAGACCTGAGCAGCCTTGGCACAGAGCATTCAGAATGTATTTATGTGTCGCTTGTTTTGAAAAATTCATTTCCCACCTCTCCCGCCATGCTCAAGGCAGCTTACCAGCACTCTCTGTACACTTACACAGAAAACACTGCACAACAAACTGAAGCCAAATGGACACCTGCTGATCTAGGAAGAGCCAAGTGGCACCCTAAAACAACCCAGGAGAGCAATAAGCACCCTTGTTTTGTGGCAGGAGTTTTGGTAAGCAAGAAATGTGTGCCTTCAGGTGCACCAAGTGCAGCAAATGCATTAGAACTGCCTATGAATCAAGGTACGAGTCTAGTGGGAGAGGGAATGTCTGTTTTACAAGGTGAGATGTGAAGATGTGAAGACTGCACATCCTGATCCTACATGTTTGCTAACATGTACTAAATAATGTTTATTTAGCATTGACTTAATTAAGTCAGTGAAACTGCTCCAAACAAGATGGGTATAAGATTGTAGCTTTACTCATCCCTTGTTAAACAGACACTTCACCCTCCTGTAGCCTGGACCTATGCTGGGGACAGTATGCTCCTGACTGAATACAAGTTACCTCAGGAGAGGAGAGTGCTCTTGTGGGCTCTTGGCCACTCTGAGGATACTGAACAAAATGCCGGATCCAGTAGACTCCTCTAAATGTATACCAACACCGTTATTGTCCAGTTTATGCATCTGATGTGTCACATGGTGGCCTACTAAAGTTCATGCTGAGATGGTTTTTCGTTAAACAGAGACCTCTGGTACTTTAAAATGTGAAACTGAAGATAGCTTTGATGTCACTAAAGCAACTGTGGCAGCAAAGGTCAAGTAGAAGCTGATACAAAATTGTAGGCCGA